CCTCAGCCTCCTGAGTAGCCGGGACTACAGGCACGCACCACCATGCCCAGCTAATTTTTTGTATTTTCAGTAGAGACGGGGTTTCACCATGTTGACCAGGATGGTCTCGATCTCTTGACCTCATGATCCACCCGCCTCGGCCTCCCAAAGTGCTGGGATTACAGGCTTGAGCCACCCCGCCCGGCCCCAACATTTTTACTTTTTAACTTAACTACTATTATTTAATTTGGTGTAAAGTTTTTCTTTAAAGGGTGTGGTTTTACATGCTTAGCTTTTAATTGCTTTTTAACTAATTTGTGAACTAACTGTAATTTTTTTTCCCTTTGGAGGTTACTGTTTTACTTAAATTGGATTTTAAAAGAGTTACCTTAGAGATAACACAGTAGTTATTATTCGAATTTAAATTTTACTGAAACCTTAGCAGAGAATTACAATTTTGGATGTCACTTGTTTACAAAGAACACACAGAATTTTACTGTGGGACACCCATGGAACCAGAGGCTGCAGCGACGGGTCCCAGGATGGCAGCCGTGCCGGCCCCGCCCAGCGGCTGCTTGTTGCTTGCACCCTTTTGCTGGCGTTTCGCTTGTGCTGCTCACTTCCCGCACCCGGGCAGCATTTGCTGGCCTTGGGCTGAGCCTATTGGCTTGGATGCTGCTGCTGGAGCAGCAAGTTTCACTTTTGAAACGGCCTCTAATTCCTCTAATGGAGGAATGTCAAGTGGTTCTGGCAACTCCTTGATAAAATACTGAGGAGGGGCTGACAGACGGACTCCTTCTTTTTCCTCATTTATTTTTTCTTTTCTCTTAACTGGGTTGTCTTTAATTTCCTCATGCCAGTTATAGTCTCGTTCTTCCCCAGCTCCTTCTTGATAAAGCAATGAAAGTCAAAGAAAGCAACAGAAGAACGGAGTAAGAAAGCACAGACTCATTGAACACAATGGACAGAGCAAGTGGCTAGTACTAATTTTAACTCCTCCTCTTTTTAAGAGGTGCTTCACTAAGTGTGAATAAGTAACATCCTTGCTTTCAGCTTGTCCCATTGTTACCCTGGTATCCTTCTGAGTGCCCGACTCACCTGTAGAGCTGATCAGTTTCGTCCTTGGGAGTCCTCTGTCCGTCGTTCCTCCTCTTTACCACGCTCAGGTGTGCCTTCACCAAAATTCTTGAGCCCCCACAGTTGGGAGCCAGAATGTAGGGAGCCAGCCCCCATACCCCACCCATGGGTACCCCGAGTTCAGTGGCAAAAAAGGAATGAGAAAAAGACAGCTTAAGAATGAAAGTGGGACCAGGGACCATCACTTGTAATGGAGGCAGTGAAGGCCCTGAGCTTAGGTTCCCCACAGTATTTATTGGTTACAATCACTGAGCAGTCATCAGATGGTGGGGTGAAGGTGAGGTGGTAGTGGGGAGGGGGTGGCCTGACGGTGGAGCAATCTTTGTTGAACAGGAATTGGGCTTGTCATTCTAAAGATTGCTAGCAGTGGCGGCTCTGTGGGAAACTGAAAAGCAGAAGCATGTGGTTATCTATAGACTGCATTCTAGGTGCAGTTGGAGGGAGTGAATCTCACAGGGAGACTACAAGTCTGGTGACTTTGTATTGCTACAAAAGGGGTTTTAAGTCCTTGAGCAGGTAAAGTACTGTAACAGAGTCAAGGTCACTCTGCACCTGGAACATGAAGGCTTAGGGAAGTTTGCCTCCCCAGAGGCCTGACGCAGTTTGCCGCGGTTCATTGTTCCCAGTCCTTGTAACCATGTTATGTGGGCACTCCGTAAGCCCTTCCTCCATTGCTGTTTCCCTCAACAACCTGGCCTCCTTTGCCTTTTTAAGGAAGAAGTTCTATGGAGAGCTGTGGTTGGATTGCCTTGGGAATGTGCTTTTCCTTAATGGATCATGGTAGCCAGAGAGGTGGAATAACTCTGTGGAGAACTCTAATTGGCCAAGCGTAACCCATGGATAAAGGAGTAGGGAGGGAACGGGGTGGGTGTCATAGCTACCCGAATTAGACCACAGGAACTCAGCATAGGAAAGACATGTTTCCTCAAAGAGGAGCTTGGCAAACCAAGATCCTAAGTCTCCTGCACCTACCAAGAGACTATACACAGCCTGTTTGCCTTAAGAAAAAGTCTCTTAATACAATTCGTTCTCACACTGCTGATAAAGACCTACCTGAGACTGGGAAATTTATAAAGGAAAGAGGTTTAATGGACTCACAATTCCACATGGCTGGGGAGGCCTCACAATCATGGCAGAAGAGCAAAGAGGAGTAAGTCACGTCTTACATGGATGGCAGCAGGGAAAGAGAGAATGAGAGCCAAGCAAAAGGAATTTCCCCTCTTAAAACCATCACATCTCCTGAGACATATTCACTACCATGATAACAGTATGGGGGAACTGCCCCCATGATTAAATTATCTCCCACCCCATCTCTCCCGCAACCTGTGGGAATTATGGGAACTACAATTCAAGATGAGATTTGGGTGGGGACACAGCCAAACCATATCGGCATTCCCAGTTTCCAACCCTCTTGCTCTTTTCCAGGTGATTGTCCAGCGGACTCTGGCTGCCAAGAACCTGTCCCATGCCAAAGGAGGTGCTCTGATGGCCGCGTACCTGAAAGTGCTGCCCCTCTTCATAATGGTGTTCCCTGGGATGGCCAGCCGCATCCTCTTCCCAGGTGAGAACACAGTCGGGGGAAGAGGTCATCAGTATGTGAGCCTCAGATCCTGTGAATTGTTCTAAACCTATTATTAGAAGCCTCAAGAGAATGGGACTACAGTCTTTTCTGTCTTTTAAGACAGTCTAATTCTGTCATTCAGGTTAAAGTGCAGTGGTGCAGTCATAGCTCACTGTAACTTTGAACTACTGGGCTTAAGCAATCCTCCCACCTCAGCCTCTTGAGTGGCTGCAGCTGCAGGTTTGCATCACATGCCTGGCTAATTTTTTTAAAAAGTAGAGATGCAGTCTTGCTATGTTGCCCAGGCTGGTCTTGAACTGGCCTCAAGCAATCCTCCTGCCTTGGTCTCTCAAAGTGCTGAGATTGCAGGTATGAGCCAACATGCCCAGTCCTTTTTTGTTGTTATTTGCATTTTTTTAAAGACAGGGTCTCACTTTGTCACCCAGGCTGGAGTACAGTGACATGATCATAGTTCACTGCAGCCTCAGACTCCTGAGCTGAAGGGATCCTTTCAATTCAGCCTCCCAAGTAGCTGAGACTACAGACATACACTACTATACCTGGCTATTTTTTTTTTAAGTTTTTGTAAAGACAGAGTCTCACTATGTTCCCCAGACTGATCTCTAACTCCTGGCCTCAAGTGGCCCTCCTGCCTTGGCCTCCGTAAATTCTGGGATTGCAGGCATGAGCCACCACGCCTGGCCACAGAGTCCTTTCCTAGTGATGAGATCTCTATCTAGGCATCTAGTGACTCTACGCTGTTTCTCAACATTGGTTCAACAGGCAAGTTCTATAGGTATCCTAGGCCAAATTGAGTGGAGACTCAACTGGGATCTTGCCTCAACTATATATTTTGGAAACCACTAAGTTAAGGTCTTGTGGTTCCAGAGCAGTTCCCCGAACTGCCTCCATGATCCAGTCACCTCCCTCCCTCGACTCACTTTGAGACGGGATTTGGGTGGGGACACAGAGCCGAACCGTATCAGGATATACGCCCAGTAGCAGGATTGCTGGATCATATGGTCGTTCTACTCTTAGTTTTTTGAGGAACCTCCATACAGTTTTCGATACTAGCTGTAGTAATTTACATCTCTACCAACGATGTATGAGAGTTCCCTTCTTCACATCTTCACCAGCACTTATTAGGTTTTGTCCTTTTGATGATTCCCATTCTAACTAGGGTGAGATGAGATTTTGATTCGCATTTCCTTGATGATTCGTGATGTTAAGCATGTTTTCCTATGTCTGTGCCAGCCACCTGTTTATTAACAAGTCCACTAGAAGATTGAGAACCTCAGGCCTAAAGTGCTCCTAAACCCCAGGGCCAAGCACTCTGCCTCCCTATTTGCACTTCTCTCTCCATGGTGGCTCCACCAGCTCCCTCCTAAATCTTCAACTGGGTCCACAGCTGCCTAAAAGTATGTTCTGATCCTGAGTTCTTGTGAGCCTGGAAAAAACCCTCTTCCACTAAGTCCATCTGAAAACTGGCACGTTTCATTTTTTAATTAAACTTTAAGTTCTGAAATACATGTGCAGAAAGCGCAGGTTTGTTACATAGGTATACTGTGCCATGGTGGTTTGCCGCACCCATCAACCCGTCATCTAGGTTTTAAGCCCCGCATGCATTAGGTATTTGTCCTAATGCTCTCCTTCCCCTTGCCCTCCACCCCCCGACAGACCCCAGTGTGTGATGTTCCACTCTCTGTGTCTATGTGTTCTCATTGTTCGACTCCCGCTTATGAGTGAGAATATGTGGTGTTTAGTTTTCTGTTCCTGTGTTAATCTGAAGAGAATAATGGTTTCCAGCTTCATCCATGAGAAATGGCACATATTTTAAAATAAACTTTATATGGAAATTAAAAGAGAAGCAAAACAACCATCAAGACACAATCCCATCACTTTGGGAAGCCAAGGCGGGAGGAACACTTGAGGCCAGGAGTTTGAGACCAGCCTGGGCAACATGATGAAACCCCATCTCTACTAAAAAGAAAAAAAAAGTAGTTGGGTGTGGTAGCGTGTCTGTAATACCAGCTACAGGCTGGGAGGCTGAGGCAGGAGAATCAGTTAACTCGGAGGCAGAGGTTTCAGTGAGCTGAGATTGTACCACTGCACTCTAGTCTGGGCTCAAGAAAAAATAAAAAATAAAAATTAATTAAAAGAAAAAGAAAATAGCTGGGTGTGGTGATACATATCTGTAATTCCAGCTACTCAGGACGCTAAGGCAAGAGAATCACTCGAGCCTGGGAAGCTGGGATTGCAGTAAGCCAAGGTCGCACCACTGAACTCCAGCCTGAGCGACAGAGCAAGACCCTGTCTCAAAAAACCAACAAACAACAAAGAACCACACATACACACACACACACACACACACACACACAGTCTAGAAATGCAGTATTTACAAAGCCAATCTTCTCTACTTGAGCTTTGGAATAAACTAAGTGTTTGCCTCTTGGCCATAATACTTACTAGCAATATAGTCTGGAGAAGCAATTTAACCTCTGGGCCTCAGTTTACCTGTCTTTAAGATAGGGATAATACCAGCATCTTCCCCGTAGAGCTGTGAAAATTAAATGAGGCGTATGTACAAAGCTTGCTGCAGGCCCTGAATCGCAGTGAAGCTTCAGTTAATGTTGGGTTTGTGGAAGAAAGGGGTTTTGTGTTAAGTTTGGATTTGACTGGGCTAGAGGCATCTTATTTCAGACATCGGTGGGTGTGAAGCATTCTAACTTCTCCGTATAGAAATGATTCATTAACCCAGGACAGGTAAGCAGCTGTTACTGAACAGTGAGTTAATGATCATGGGTAGATGACTTGAGGTCAGGAGTTCAAGACCAGCCTGGCCAACATGACAAAACCCCATCTATCTCTACAAAAAATACAAAAATTAGCCGGGTTTGGTGGTGTGTGCCTGTAATCCCAGCTTCTCGGGAGGCTGAGGCAGGAATATCACTTGAACCCAGGAGGTGGAGGTTGCAGTGAGCCTGGGGCGACAGAGCAAGAGGCTCTGTCTCAAAAAAAAGAAAAAAAAAAAGACACTATTGTAAGACTGGCTACTAGGTGTCCCAGCTTTATCTGGATTATGATAACAATAGTTGAAGTTTTTCCAGCACTTCCTGTAAAGTCATGTTATTAGCCTAGTTTTACAACTTAAGTACAGCTTAAGTAACAAGGTCACAGCTTACAAAGTCTAGACTCTCTTTTGTTTCATTGAGCTATAAACTTCTATATAATAAACCTATGTCCGTCCCCATGTTGCCTGGGCCTGAGTCTGTGGGGTCCTGGCTGCTCAGCTCTGGGCTTGTGTTTCCTCCGTAGATCAAGTGGCTTGTGCAGATCCAGAGATCTGCCAGAAGGTCTGCAGCAACCCCTCAGGCTGTTCTGACATCGCGTATCCCAAACTCGTGCTGGAACTCCTGCCCACAGGTAATGTCCTCTCGCCCCTGAATCAAGTCCCCTGGAGCACCCAGAGAGGAGATGACAGGCTGGGCTCTGATCTAACGCAGGGTCAAAAAGGAAGGGCTGGGGGGAGGAACAGGCTCTAGGCTCCCCAAGAAAGGCTAAGTCCTGCAGGAAGCTCTGCCCCGCCATCCTCCCCGAGGTTCTGCCTCCTCCAGTTGAGCCCACTGGGATCGGCTGCTTTGGCAGAAAAGGACCAAGGCCCATGACCTCCCTTCCGCACCCCCAGGGCTCCGTGGGCTGATGATGGCTGTGATGGTGGCGGCTCTCATGTCCTCCCTCACCTCCATCTTTAACAGTGCCAGCACCATCTTCACCATGGACCTCTGGAATCACCTCCGGCCTCGGGCATCTGAGAAGGAGCTCATGATTGTGGGCAGGTAAGTCCCCACTGGGTGGGGCCGGGGCAGGGGGAAGAGAGAGCTGAGCCCACCCAGAGGCAAAGTCCAGGTCCAGCCAGCAACTTATCCAGGCCTAAGAGCATTAGGACTCCACGTGCAAGACATTCATTCATTCAGATGTTCAACGAGCACCTACTGTGGACCAGGCACTGGGCAGATAACCATGAGAGGGCTCAGTTCTTGCCTTCACGGAGCTAGGGAAAGAGGAGAATAAGCAAATAATTATAACTCGCTGAGCGCAGTGGCTCACATCTGTAATCCCAGCACTTTGGGAGGCTGAGAGGGGTGGATCACTTGAGGTCAGGAGTTCAAGACCAGCCCGGCCAATATAGTGAAACCCCGTCTCTACTAAAACTACAGAAACTAGCTGTGCTGGCTCACGCCTGTAATCCCAGCTACTCAGGAGGCTGAGGCAGGAGAATTGCTTGAATCTAGAGGCGATTTGTGTACTGGAGGCACGTCACTGCACTCCAGTACACAAAAAAACAAATAATTACAACCCAGTGGCAGGTATGACAGGGGAGTCAGGAGACCTGGAGAGGCGGAGGAGGAACACCCAACCTGGATTGGGAGCTGAGGGATGCATAGGAGTTAGCCAGGTAAGAGGGAGAAAGGTGTTTTGGGGATTGGGGGAAAGGTTTCTGCAAAGTCCTAATGGCTAATGGGAGGAACTAAAATGACTGAGATGAATGGCACGTAAATATTATGGAAAACATATGCAAATAAACACCTTGGGGCTCAGTCACTCAGGAAGATGCACCTTGAGGCTGTCTCCACCTTGGGTTAGGAAAAACGTTCTTTGATGTGACACCGAAACACAATTCAGAAAAAAAAAAAGGCCAGGCGGATGGTTCACGCCTACAATCCCAGCACATTAGTGGGGCGCAGGTGGGGGGATTGCTTGAGGCCAAGAGTTTGAGATCAGCCTGGGCAACATAGCAAGATCCCATCTCAACATAAAAATAAAAAAATAGCCAAGTATGCTGGCGTGTGCTTATAGTCTCAGCTATTCGGGAGGCTGAGGTGGGAGGATCGCTTGATCCCAGGAGTTCAAGGCTGTAATGAGCTGTGATCACACCACTGTACTCCAGCCCGGACAACCTTGCCTCGCCTCTAAAACAACAACAAAAAAGATACATTGAACTTCATCAAAACTTAAAACATTTCCACTTCAAAAGATACCGTCAAGAAAATGAAAGGAAATGCCAAAAATGGGGAAAAAAAGATTTGCAAGCTACATACCTGACAAATTAGGACTTGCAGAATATATGAAGAACTCTTAAACATAATAAGACCACCAACCAAAAGACTGCACTAGGCATGTCACCAAGGAAAATACATAAATGGCTAATAAGTGGATGGATAGATGTCCAACATCATTAGTCAGGGAAACACAAATTAGAACTACACCACTTCACAGCCACTAGGATGGCTACCATAAAAAAGAGAGAGAAGGAAATGGAGAAACTGGAATTCTCCTACACTGCAGGTAAGAACATAAAATGCTTCAACTGTTCAAGTTGGGCAGTTTCTTTCTTTCTCTTTCTTTCCCCGCCTGCCTGCCTGCCTTCCTTCCTTCCTTCCTTCCTTCTTTTTTTTTTTTTCTTTCTTTCTTTTTCTTCCCCCCCTCCTCTCTCTCTCTCCTCTCTCTCTCTCTCTCTTTCTTTTATAGCGTCTAGTTCTTGTCACCCAGGCTGGAGTGCAATGGTGTGATCTTGGCTCACTGCAAACTCTGCCTCCCAGGTTCAAGCAATTCTCCTGCCTCAGCCTTCTGAGTAGCTGAGATTACAGGTGCCTACCGCCATGCCCAGCTAATTTTTGTATTTTTAGTAGAAACGTGGTTTCACCATGTTGACCAAGCTGGTCTCGAACTCCTGACTTCAAGTGATTCACCTGCCTCAGCCTCCCAAAGTGCTGGGATTACAGGTGTGAGCCACTGTGCCTGGCCAGGAAGTTTCTTAAGAAGTTAAATATAAGCTTATCATGTAACTCAGCAACTGCATTCCTAGAAATCAAAACATGTCTACACAAAGACTTGTACACAAATGTTCATAGAAACACTGTTCACACCAGACATGGTGGCTCATGCTTGTAATCCCAGCACTTTGGGAGGCTGAGGTGGGAGGATCGTTTGAGCCCAGGAGCTTGAAATCAGCATGGGCAACATAGTGAGACCCCATCTTTATAAAAAAATGTTTTAAACAGGAAACACTATTCATAAGAGCCGAAAAGTAGAAACAATCCAAATGTCCACTGAATGGCAAAAAACAATGGCATATCCATGACAATGGAATACTTTTCAATAATAAAAGGGAATGAAATACCAACACATCTTACAACATGGATAAACCTCGAACATTATGCTTAGTGAAAGAATCAGATGCAAAAGACCACATATTATATAATTCTCTATATGTGAAATTTTCAGAGTAGTCAAGCCCACAGAGACAAAAAGTATATTAGCTGTTTCA